AAAAAAAATATTATGCCATTCATTGTAGAATCATTTAGAATACAGAAAAGTATAAAAATATTAAATAAGAGTCAGTAATGGCCAGTGTGGGTAACATGGTGAGACCCTGTCTGAAAAAAAAAAAAAAAATTATGCCATTCATTGTAGAATCATTTAGAATACAGAAAAGTATAAAAATATTAAATAAGAGTCAGTAATCATACCACTTATCAGAGAGCACCATTGATGACATTTTGGGCATATTTCTCTCTGTTGTTTATTGTTTATATGTGAATACATGCACCTACACAGTTGTTTATACAATTGGCTTTTTATGACTTTGCACCCTGCTTTATTTTAAGCTTATTTATGTCTTCCATGAGCAAAGACAGAGACAGCACCCCTAACAGGGTCCTGAGGCCCTGATCGTGGGCACGCATGCCTGGCAGGCTCAGGGGGGTCTCCAGATGTGAACATGGAACCCTCGCATGTGAGTCAGCCTTGCAGAGCATCACATTCTACTACTGCACAGTGGTCTAGCCCAAGTATCCTGCTTTTTAAAAATTTAATATTATTGTGAGACCATTCTCTTTTATCATCAGATATTCCCTGAATATTTCAAAGGCCATGTAGCACCTCACTGTGTAGCTGTATACCATATTTCTTTCTTGTTTGACATTGACATTGTTTACAGCTTTTTGCCATTATAAATCATGTTACAAAGAAAATTTACAATAAGTCTTCTTCAGAGAGAAATTCTTAGATGTGTCACTGTGAGATCAAAGAGAAGAGGACCATTTTGAAGCTCTGGCACCTAACTTTCTTATGATTTAGGTGACACAAATGAAAAGCCCACTTACATATTCTAGAACTCTGGCCTTAAGCGTTTGATTTCCACAGTGAAAACACATAAACAGAAAAGCAGAAGAGGAGCTGACATGTGGCTCTAACTCGGTTTGTTCAAACAGAGAAGAAATACATTTTAATTCAAACAATGAGCATGCAGTTTCAGACTGAAGGACAGCTTTTTATATTGCAAAGGATGTGTCCAAATACCAAACACTGAGCTTTACTTTGCTATCCTTATTTTCACTGTGTCTCTTGGAACATATGCATGTCCAAAATTATGTTTTAGCTGTATCCTTTTTTGTTTTTTTAATTAGTTTTTGCTGTAGACACATGTACTTGCCAGAGACAGAGGGAGAGACAGAGAGGGAGAGGGGAAGTGAGAAATTACCCTTCAGAGGGGATAGCTGCACCGCAGAACCTTCTCCATTCTCCTTGGGATTTTGGACGTGCATGCATGTAGGCTCAGCTTGATTTTTAAGTTGCTCTGGATCTGGGGCTTGACCCACACCGTTGGCCATGTGGGATCCAGCTCCCTCGACCTCTGCACTACATGCTGGCCCTCTTTTTAAATTAAGTTAATTTTTTCTTTTCCTTATTTATTTTTTTTTTTTTTTGAAGATTTCACAGAAGCACCTTTTTTTCCATGTAGTATGAGCAATTATTGGATTGTTGGAAAAGTCATGGCATGTTATTTCCATGCAAAAATGTGTCTTGACTTTCTTGATGACCTAATAATTCTTTTTAAAAATTATTTTACTTATTATTTTAAAATTTGTTATAGGGTACATGTGCTCACCAAAGAGAGAAAGAGAAAGCAAGCCACCAGGCCCAGGACTTGGGCCACAGTCATCCATGTAGGAGTCTAGCATCTTAACCACTATGCCACCTGCTGACTCCAGCAATTAATTTCTTTTTAAAAAATATGTAATTTATTATTATTTCAGATTTTTGCACATGTGCTTGCTGGAGAGAGATGGAGAGAGAGAGAGAGAGAGAGAAAATGAGAAATCCCCACCTCTGCCATGGCCTTGGGGCAATTCCTTCTTCATTCTCCTCTCAGGATCTTGGGCATCCCCACACATGTACCAGTATGTCTTTCCAGCTGGCAGGTCTAGACTTGAATCTTAGAACTGGCCATGTAGGATCCAGTGTCTCAACCTCTACACCACCTGTTGACCTAGCAATTAATTCTTTCTGAGGCTTCTCATGGGCTACAACTCTACACCATACTGCCTTTTAGTCTGGTACCCCAGCCTAGTAATCAGACACTCTTAGGTACATTCCCATACATACACACCCATATTTCCCATTTGTAGTAACTTACGTATTCAGAGGAAAGGGTCTGCTTTGGTAAAAGTAAATGAGATTGGAGAGGACCTTTGTAAAGGCCACTGAGATGGGGCTACATGTCTATAAATCAGAGTCGACTTGGTGTTGGGATATACCCTTGGAACATGACATTTTTTCCCCCATGTTTTTGTATTCGACTTTAAATTTTGAAAAATTCAAACCTGGAGAAAATCTGCAAAAATAGTACAGTGAACTTCTATAAATCCTCTACCTGGATCCTCTTGTTATTTTGCCCACTTAATTTGCCTTTTTATGCCTACAATAATATACACATTTGAGAGTTACAGGATAACTAGCCTTTACCTGTCATTATTTCAGTATGTATCTTCCAAGACCAAGGATATTCTTCCAAGATATCACGATGCCATTATCAAAGTCAGGAAATGTGTACAATCCTGGATTTCTCTAGTAACTTCTTTTCTTCCTGATCTGGTACCCAAGTGAGAATTAAGTGTGACATTTAGCTGTCATGTCTCTTTAGTCTCCTTCAGTCTGGAATGACTTTTTTATCCTTTGTCAAACAATGCTGACATTTTTAAAGGATATGGGCAATTAGCTTATTAAATGTCTCTCAGTTTGGGTCTGCCTGATAGTTTCCTTGTGATTTATTATTGTGATTTATTTATATATTACCATACAACTTAATGGTTTAAAATAACACTAAACATTTATTATTTCATGTATTTTCTGTAGGCCAGAAATTTGGGACTACCCTAGCAGGGTAGCTCTGTCATGGGGTTATTTATAAAATCATAGCCAAATTGTTGCCTGATTTTTTTCATCATCTGAAGGATTGATTAGGCTAGCAGTTCTGCTTCCATGACAGCTCATTCACATGACTGGAAAATTTGAATTGCCTATTGACAGGAAGCTTCAGTTCCTTACCATGTAGACTCCTCCTTAGTACTGCTTGAGTAGCCACACAATATGGCAGCTGTGTTTTCCCAGGAAGAATGATACATTCCATTGAGGGAACAAAGAGGAAACCTTGATATTGGATGACCTGGTCTTAGAAGTCACGTACTGTCTCTTCTGACTTTGCTTTGAGTGCTTGGAGCTCCAGATGCAGTAAGGATGACTGAGAAGGTGACTATTAAGGTCACCAAGAAGAGCCATCCCCTCTCAGAGACTCTTACATGAATCTGTTCATATCTACCTGGCCCATAGGAGGTGATCAGAAGATATTTAATAGCCGACTAATATGGGCCCACTGGCACAGCACTAGATGGTCCATAGGTGTTAGTGTCACCCCCCTTCTTTGAAGTTCTCTGTCTCCTCTCCTGTCTTCTTTGCTCTGTCATTCAGCATGTCAGGTGAGGCCTGGCCCTAGCTGCCCAGGTGGCCTGGCTGGTCTTGAGCATTTTATCCCCATCTCAGATATCTAGCTGATCTGTTAGTCCAACCTTTGGCCAGCCCCCAGCATTCGCACTCTAGTCCTTGTGGTGTCCCTCTTAGGTTTCTGTTCCTCCTCCATCTTGTCATCAGCCACTTCTTGCTGATAGTTTCTAGGCAAGTCCTGTGACACTGGGAGTTTGTCATCGATCCCTCAGGATAGAATTCTTTGCCAGCAGGCAACCTTCAGTACAAAATGAAAACAAACGCTACTAAACGAGGAGATAGTTTATTGTTCCTATCTCTGCCAGTCAGGCCCACCCCTGGAGTTGGGCAGGCTCTGCCCTCCCCCACCCAACCCCAACCCTGG